GTCCGCTCGAGCCTCCCCCGTAACGGGCTGAGCTCTAGAAGGGCGCTCGGCTCGCTGAGTTACACGTAGCGGGGCCGGCTGGCGGCCGCCAACCCTGCAACTTGTTCGGTAGGATCAAAAGCTCGGCCGTGACGTCGGAGGTGGGGACAAGGTCACCGAGTGTGGCCGGGCTCCAAAAGGCCGTCACCTCCTTCGCAAGCAGTCGGGTCGGGAGGCGAGCTTCCTTCCTTTCGCTGGCCCCGGGACTCGCTCCGCGCGGGCCCCCTCCGGAGCCAAGGGCGTGGGCACCTCGATGGGACATTTTACATTTTACGAAACCCATTCAACGGCCCAGCACAAGAAGTTACGCTGCGGCCTTTCTAGCAGGACCCCTCATGTGCAAACAAACCCTGGGGCTTGCCAAAGAGCTTCAACACTCTCCAGGGGCGGCGGCCACTAAACTGAGCCTTTTCTGAGTTACTGTACAGCGTTTAAAATATTTCAAGAAAACGGTTTGAAATTAAGACAACTATTTGATTAATCTACTTTCAGTTTAAAAAATTTTTTTTTTCCCAAATGCCACTACGATCTAAACACCCCTAAGTAATAAACTCCTAGGTAGGCAAAGCTGGTTTTGGACTTGTCTGGTGAAGGAAATCAAGTACCGAGCCTTGAAAGAGCCCCGGAGGAAAGATACCACAAAGGCGGTCACGCCACGGTCCTCGGAGCCGGAGGCCATCATCGCCTGGTATTTCCAGGGGCGATGGAAGCCGCCTGGCCCCGAGCTCCCCGCTTGGCCCCGCGACCCACGCCCGGCCATGCACCACGAGCCCGGCCAAGCACCCGCAGCCCCAGCGGGAAGTTAACGCGGGCTTCACTCATTAGTCGCGGTAGCGCCCGGCCCGCAGCCCTTCCGGGAGCCCCCCGGACGCGCCAGCCCGTGAGCCAAGCAATGGGCAGCCAGGGGTCATTACCCGAGATTAAGACCTCCCCCCCAAACCCCTTGTTTTCCCCACACTCCACCTCCTCCACTCCAAGAAACTCGGGCGACTCGGTCCCAAGCCTCCTCGGAAAGCGTTTCAAAAGCACAGAACGCCAGGCACCGACTTGACAAGGTGGGGTGACATTTCCTCCGCGGCGGGTCCCTTCCGCAGCTCGCTCCCGCAGCTGGCCTAACGGCAAGGCACAAGTCTAGCTTACGTGTTAGGATCATGGTGTCCGGCTTCTTTCTGCACATCAAGTGCGGCGGGGGCGGCGGGCGTACAGTGGGGAAATCGAGGTAGCCCGAGACACCTGGGCTTCCGCGCGGGGCGCACGGCGGCTCCCAGGGACGCGCGCTCCAGCGGTCCTCAGCGCATCCCTGCCAGCCTCTCGGTGCCGCTCGCCACGGCCCAGACACAACGCAGAGTTTTTCAGAGGTCGAAGAGGGAGAGCGCTCAGGGAGCGGGGCGAGAAGCCCGGGACCGGTTACTCCTGCTGCGAAGATCGGCCATAGCCGGGCAGCAGCGAAGCGCCCCCGCACCCGCTGCTCCAGCGCACAGTCTCCG